CGCTTCCTTGAAAAGCGAGTAACGCTTCTTATTTGAGTCGACTTTGATTAGTGGTGGTTTCCGTCGTTTTTGACTACACTATCTTGGGAATGTAGACGTGCCTGGTGCAAGTTAATTTCTGTTAGTTTTTACTAGCGTTGTTAGCCGTGGCTGAAGCTGGAAAGTGTAGAATAGCACATCCTGCTGGACGCTGGTCTGGCGATTTGGAGTGGCAGAATCTTTTCGCAGTCGAAGTTGGTTGCTATGCCTTTACCAAGTGTCGTGAGCCACCGTCACTTCGAACGTGCAATCGTCCCCTCAATCCATTGGTCGTGCCATGGTCTTGGTGGCCTGCTGGAATTGGCGGCAACTCTTGACTAGGTCTGCAATTTGCTGATCCATTTTTGGCTGGTGAGCGTAACAGCGGGTGATAGACTTCACGCAACTGATGCCGGGATGGCCAGTATTAAATTGACGAAGAATCCGCACGCCTGGTGATTTGGGCACTAAAACGCGTTCTCCGAACATCATGCAGCCGTCTATAACGCAGAGGGAATCGCGTCGCTGGAACAACTGCTGAAGATCTCTGGTGGGGAAGCGTTTTGGCCATTTGCCTTGGACGCAACGGATGGCTTGCCGTATTGTGTTATTCGAGGCAGTTTCCGGTTTGATGTCAAAAATCGCAACCTTCAGCGCACAAACTGTTTCAGATATCTGTTGCGTGATGCCATTTTTGAGGTGGATGGCGGCGATGACGGCATCTTTCATGGCAGTGGGCTGGTTACTGGTGAGACATGATTGGGCGTCTGCCTGCCCAAGTTCTCTGTTCGACAGTACTAGATTTCGAAGTCATAACCAAGTAGAATAAGTGTCCACCTTTGTAGTCGGTTCGCAGAGTAACCTGGGATGCCTGCTTTTGATTTAAAAACCGACAGCCGTGGCTTGTAATCTGAGAGCAGAGTGAATCGTTGGCCATAAGTGAGTTTGTGGAAACGGTGGACAACGAAAGCCAAAGCGAGAGCTTTTTTCTCAATCTGTCCGCAACGCTGTTCTGTCGTCGTCAGCGACATTTATGTGTGCATTATGGCCTTTTCTGTGCCGTCAGGAAAAAGTTGGACGTTGACGGCTCCGATGCCTTTGACGGAGGCGTCAATTGCAACAACAATTGGTAGACTTGGATTGTAGTGGGTCAGCAGCAGGTCCGAACTGAGCATTAATTTAATTTGACAGAACGCCACCTCTCATTCGTTGGACCAAACCCAAGGTACGTCCTTTTCGAGCAAGTGATTCAGAGGTGGTCGGACATTTTGGACTGACGGTAGAAAAGCCGAGTAATAGCTGATTAGCCCAAGAAGAAGCGCAGTGATGGAACATTTTTGTGGAAGTCGGCATTTATTGAATAGCGCGGATATTCTTAGGATCCGGATGCCGGCTAGAGTCGTCAAAGTTAAAACCCAGATACTTGACTGAAGTCAAGAAGAACTCGCATTTTTCTTGCCAAAGTCTGAGTCCGTTGTCTTGAATCCGTTGGAGGACTTCATCGATCTGCTTGCGTAACTCATCTTGCGAACTAGCTACGATTAATAGGTCGTCGAGGTATGCTGCCACCCCAGGAATGCCGGCCAAAATGGTACTCATGCACTTTTGACAAACAGAAGGAGCGGTCTTGACTCCGATGGGTAGGCTGTAGCACTGGAACAGACCGCGATGGAAATTGATGGTCAGCGGTAGGCGGGACCACGGAGCGACTTCTAGATGTAAGTAGGCATCGGCGAGATCAAGTCTTGCGAAGTATCTTCCGCCACTCGGAATTGTAAGTAAGTCCGCTGGGGCTGGTAGAGGATAATGGTGTGTTTCCAGAGCTGCATTTAGACCAGTGGAGAATTCTGCGCATATCCGGATTGTACCATTGGCCTTTCTTACCACAACGGTTGAAGCAGCCCAGGCTGAGCACGAGACCGGGAAAAGAACGCCTTCGTGTTGAGGCGTTCGGACTCAGCGTCAACCAGCGGTAACGAAGTGTGTGGGACCGGTCTTTTCGGACGGAAGACCGGCCTATAGTCCGTAAAAAGACGGAGGGCGGCATATGTCGCAGAACAATGTCTCAATCCAGGTTGAAAATCCGTGCTGAACTGCCTGATGATGTCCGCGGTATTTTTGCAAGGTGTTGTCGACAAGTGTAGTGCAGCGCAGATGGAGCTAATTGGGATATCGGCCAAGCCCAATTGTTCAAACCAATCCAGACCATAGAAGTTCGGTCGGATTAGCTTTGATGACATAATACTTGCCACTGAAGGTC